CAGAGAAGCGCGTCTTCGGCGCCGTGGTCGGCCACCACCTTCTTGAACGAATCGATGATCGTCATGGGCGCTTGTCCTGCAATTGTGCCGGGTGGGCCCATACGGATCTTGACTTGGCCGTCGCGGGTCCACGACTAGGGTCCATGTCAGGCCACACGCTCTACTACGGCAGTGGTGTACCGTGAGAGGGTAGTCGTCGTTGGCAAACTCAATGGAGACGCTGGATGCGAGCTCGGCCATGCTGGAAACGCTGGAAAAAGCACAATGAAGAGGTGGTGGTGCGCCGGCGGAAACAAAACAAATTTCGATATTTCACCGCCCGCCAACGTTCGCAGGGCGCTTTTGTTCCGGCAAGCCGTTGAGTCCTATACTTATAAACCATCCAACGGGCTGATACCCCGAAACCGGTCGTAGCGCCTGCAAGCTGGCGCAGCGGCAACCAACTCTTACACGCGGGCGGCCAAGAAAGACACACCAAGTCCAGACATTATAGTCGCACGGACGACCATCATAAACACCGTCGGTTCAGACCAAGCCGTGTGGCAGCCACGATCAAGGGCGACCCACGTGCAATGACGGATTACAAGGACAAAATAGAGTAGAAATTTTCATTTTCGGACAGTCGTCAAGCGTAGCCCACCTCGCCACCCGAGTGACGCAATCAATACACATTGGTTGCCATCCCCCGACGCCGAGCGGAACATGCCAGGACGCCAACGCTCGTGTCCAGTGACCCATTGTGACGTGTCTTGTCTTGTCAGCGCTCTTGCATGCATACCTGTGGATGTAACGCCCCTCTGTGAGCTCACCAAACCAGTCTCGCTTAAGCACCCAGCTTGCAAAGCTGGATGGCGCGAGACGGGAAAAGCAGCGTGTGGCCCGGCGGTGCGCAACGCAAGCGACCTCACCCGGAGCGGTGCAAGACGTGTGCAAGCACGAACGCACGAAGTAGATGACACACGAAGCGAGCAACGTACGGCAAGACAGCGCGGCGATCAACCTGGTTGGTCCGATGCCACTTGTCGCTCCTCGACGTTCAAGCACGAACCTGCGACCCAAGGGAATAAATATTCCCTTGCTGCGACCCGTCTGCAACGTAAGAAGAGGCCAAGCAGAGTCCATCATCACCGAGCTCTTGAAGAGACCAGAGAAGATTGTCATTGTCTTGGCGACGAGCATCACAATGATGTTGCACGGGCCGCGCCGTATACAACACTCGTGTACTACTGGTCTGGCGGTCAATGTCATGTGAGATATCAGACGACGTTGGCTGTAGATCTTAGATTCCATCATCGATGGTAGTGTACGCCGATGGCAAACGTCGAGGGTTCCCGTCGCTCATCATTTCGCTGGAGGTCCTTCTCTTGTGCGTAGATGCACGAGTGACGATGGTATCGTGCATTTCACTCGCTCGGTGGTACTCGGCAGGCGTGACGACGACGGCGACGCGTGCAGGTCGTGTCCGCCATTTGGGCTTCCTCGGCTTTCCTGCTTTTGACCTTTGAGTGGCACATGCTTTCCAACTTCAACGTGGCGCCATGTGACAGCCAGCCGATGGAGGCTGACGCCACCTCGATTTGAATGACTTTTGCGCATTAAATAATCAACATTTAAAAACAAAAGATGGGCTGGAAACCACCTATATGCATACATACTGCGGGCTCGGACGAGTAAAAATGACCTAAAATATAATGAAATGTGTGCATTAAAAACAAACGCCTCCATGTAGCCAATCCCTATCGCAGACGCGGGTATTTTATCCAATCAGAGACGTACATCTCCAAATTTGACATCGTCGGCGTTCACTCCACATTTTGCCCTAGACCGTTCGCACCATGAAGGCCTTCTCGCTCGTCGCCCGTCGCTCGATCGCCATGGCGCGCCAGGTAGACGCCTACCACGCATGTGGCCGAGGAAGAGGTCCTCATAATGGAACGCCCATGTAGACCCCGCGCTCGTTCTCGACCGCTGCCTACGACCTGTACAACCCGACGGAGGAGCACATGGCGCTCCGCGAGATGCTTCGCTCGTTCGTCAAGGACAAGGTTGAGCCCCAGGCCATCGACTACAACCGCGCCGAGAAGTTCAACGTCGACCTCTTCCGCGAGCTCGGTGAGCTTGGCTTGCTCGGCATCACCGTGCCGGAGAAGTACGGCGGCTCGGAGATGGACGCGTTGGCGGCGGTCATTGCCCACGAAGAGCTCAGCTCGTCGGACCCTGCGTTCTGCCTCTCGTTCCTTGCGCACTCGATGCTCTTCACCAACAACTTGGCGCGCAACGGCAGCGACGAGCAGTGCGCCAAGTATCTTCCGGCGGCGTGCTCGGGCGAAGCCATTTGCGGCATGGCCATGAGCGAGCCCGCGGTCGGCACGGATGTCTTGGGCATGAAGACGACGGCCACGAAGGGTACCTACTCCCACTCCTTACACCTCAGCGTGTCATTGATACCATCCAATTTAGTTGGCGACGAGTACATCCTCAACGGTACCAAGATGTGGATCACGAACGGTGCGATCAACGACACGGAGCTCGGCGACACGTTCTTGGTCTACGCGCGCACGGG